TATTTATTCACCCAAACCATATTTGGTATCAATGTTATACCTAACATCCCCTCTTCCCAGTTACCATGTCATCTCCAATATTGTAGCTCAATAGAATAGGGAACCAGGCAACTAGGTAATTCCTCCGGCTCTTGGATTAAAAAAAACTATTGCAATGGCAATGTATATAAATCACACATCATCACAAAATCTCCAGAACCGTAAAGCCTACAAACCTGAAATTTGGACATATGTTCCTCTTGGCTTCTAGGTGCTTACTAAGAAAGGATTTTTCAAAATGACCATCAGAGCATTAGTATTTCATATATTATTTTTCACATGCTCTGATACTAAGGAGTTCTACTCCCCCTCCCCACCTGAAAAGAAATCTGTCCCAAATGCAAAACACAAGCAAAGGAGGAGTTTCAGTTTTAGTTTCACAGCATCAAGCAGCTTTAGTCCAGAACAGCTGAGCTAAGCCATGCCCAGGCTCCTTGCTGTCTCCTTGTTCACACAGCAAATACTGTTTCACTTTCCAAACAGCCCTCAACTCTCTCACACACTGACAGGACACTAGCCAGATGAATACTGATGGATGCTGGTAGGCACAGGCAGAATTCCCCCTCCCCTTATTTTCCTCCCCAAAAACTAAGCCCGATCACATACTTTTGTAGTGAAGCATGGGGTATCCAGCTACTTCATTAATATGTGAATCTGTATCAACTCTGATCTACAGGTAAGTTACCACTTCAGATGGAGAAAGAGTTAGTTCGACTAAAAGCAGAATAGTCTTGGTTGTAGTCTGGTGTTTCAAAGTGCCTTTTTCTGAAAAGTTCACATAGCTCTCTTTTTCCTGCTTTTTCAAAAGCAGATTTACTTTCAATGATGCTTTGAAGCAGATGACTAGTGTAATAGTATGACTGTTTTCTGAAGTGATTGATTTACTGATATATTGCTATGTTATTAGCATTATCGCATATATTGAATTGCTCAATCTCCCAGCATGGGAGAAAGCAAAATCCTATCTGAGTAAAAATTCAGAATGGAATCTGCAAATGCTCAAACAGTTCTTTTGCATTCAGGTTTTAGTTTGGATTTGGCTACTATAAATCCTTGTTCCCCTGAGTGGAATTTTGCTTTGTGAACAGGATTATTCTTACCTCCACAGAAAACCCTGTTGGCCTTCAAATGTATTCCTGAGATGAGGAAAACAAAGGGAAGAATATGAAATATGGCATTCAGAGCTGCATCAGGATGTGTTGTGTGTCTTCTGCCCCAAATAGGTTTCACTAACTCAGATAATCTTTGGGTCTGTGTCATAGAGAGAGGTCAATATTCCTGTTATTCTGAACAGCTGCCATCTGTCTTTGTCTGAAAGAGATAGCTTTGTGAGGTGACATTACTGTCAAAGCATCCCATGCTAATAACTTACCAGAAGGGAGGGTTGGCAACTAGACAAGCAGAGCTCCATAGTGCTACTAACTCTTGGGTGATTCTTGCTGTTCTTCAAATTTTAAAATGAGTGAAAATAAATAAATAACACAAAATTGAGTAACACAAAATTAGTACAAAGCTACCTCTTCTTCCTATGTTACCACAAGTCACCCCCATCCGTTTCTTATTAAAAAATGGTTGAAGGTGCATTTGTAATTAAAAATGTGAGAGGATACCTGTTGGATCAAGCTACTGAATTCTTTCCTTAAAAGACTTCTGATTTGTAGTAGATAGTACAAGATTTATTTTATTTTTTAAAATTTCTGTATGCTTAACGTTGGCCACCTTATTTTAATTATAATGTAATCTGGATTTTCAAGGATATCTAATTACATTCGTTACTCAGCTTCTGCAATTACGGAAAATGCTACCAAGCACAAATATAACTATCTATATTATATTTTTATGCAGACAAATACCGTGTTTGGATTAAGATTAAGATTAATTCTTATCAAGTATGTCAATCATACATTGGAGATGACGAAAGTGATCAAAGTACATTCCTTTTCTTCCCTGTATGGATGTACACCCATAACTGTAAGCAGTATTGTAAAACTGTAAGCATAACTATAAGCAGTATTGTAAAAGAGACAAATGCATACTGAATATACATGTAGCATAATAGCAATAGCAATAGCACTTAGACTTATACTTCACAGTGCTGTACAATCCTCTCTAAGCAGTATACATTGGCCCCAACAATTTGGCTCCTCATTTTACCAACCTTGGAAGGATGGAAGGCCTAGTCAACCTTGAGCCGGTAAGATTCAAACTGTTGAACTGCTGGTAGCCAGCAGTCAGCAGAAGTAGCCTGCAATTCTGCATTCTATCCACGGAGCTACCATGGCTCTTATAATGGGCAGTAAAGGTCCTAAAGCTCTGAATTTCTAGTAGTGTGCATGAACAAATGAAAGGCATTATTTTTATAGATTATTTATAAACTTTTACAAAGAATTTGTCTGATCACTGTGAATGTAATATGATTTTATCTGATCCCAGACAGATCTGTTTAAAACCCACCTAAAAAGACCACTGGGAATTTTTTTGCAAACATTGCTAAAAATGTTATACACTATATATATGGCATGATATGGTAGTAAGATAATGACAGGGATAAATCTATAAATATTTTTAAAACTAGTCTGCAGTTGTGACTGGAGATAAAATCCAGTTCAGGAAAATATTCTTGTGAACTTTAACTGTCACATTTCCTACAAAAATAGCAGTTGCTTCTATTAATCACAGAATGATGCCATTAAGCATCTAAAATCATATTTCTTGCACAAAAATATAATAGCCTTGCATTTTTAAGGATATGCACTTTACAAACATCAGATGGATTCCTAACATGCAACATCTTACTAAACAATCGGAATACTATGGCGAAATATGGAAAATATCAGGATGTTTTTCATACCTGACATTATTAGTGGTTAACTCAGAACAGGTATTCTTAATTAGATATTATTCTTTCCATAAAATCAGTTTGAATAAGTGTACACATAACACCACACCCTTAACAATTGTTGATAAGAAAAACAAGAAAGTCTGGAGAGTGGATATGGCAGTACTGTACCTGGAGAAAGAACTAGAGAAAATCACAAAGTACAAAGACCTGCAAACAAGCAGAACTACTATGGCAAAAGAAACAAAGACAGTTTTAATAGTAAAAAGACTTGATAGGTAGCTAAAAATGGGGATGGGATGTTACTGGTTTGGCCAGGTTCTATAGAACCTGTAGCTGCAAAGAGCAGCTGACACCGATCCGGTTTGGTGTTTGGCCCACCCACCTGCCCGGGCTCTAGGCTGTCCTTTATTCCCTGCTTTTCCCTCCTCAGCTGTTTTGTGCGGTACAGCTGAAGTTGAAAAAGCAGGCAACAAGAGGATTTTCAACCCGTGTGCAGTGCTTGTCAGCTGTCCAGGCGCCACAGCAGATTTCTTGCAAATGCTGTACACACACGTAGTTTGGAGAACCGGCAAATCACTCCACTGGCTGGCACCTCCTCTCCCCACCCACTCACTCCTTACCTGGCATGCGAGCCATCCAACTTGCCTTGTTTGGTAAGTTGCTATTTTTTCCTTTTTTTTCCAACCATCAGCTGTTCTGCTCTGCCAGGAGATTTAGATTAGCTAGAAAGCAGGAAATCTTTGCATTCCTTGCTTTCTAGCTAATCTAAAAGCAGAGCCAAACTTTCCTTAGGACTGAAGTTTCTACTTTCCAGTGCAGACTCAGGTAGCCGATTGGAGATAGGTAGATCTCTAAGTGAATCTGTAATTCTGTGAGCAACTCAATCTGCCTGCCTGCTTTGCCTGCTTTTAGGTAAAAGTTGGTCTTTTTTTTAATAAAAAAATTCAATATTTACATACATGGTGTGTTGTGAGTTAATTTTGTGAGTTTGCTTGCTAGAAAATTTTATGAGTTTGCTTGCAAGCAAATTATATGTGACAGACTCAGATAGCCGATTGGAGATAGATTGATCTCTAAGTGAATCTGTGATTCTGTGCGCAACTCAATTTGCCTGCCTGCTTTGCCTGCTTTTGGGTAAAAGTTGCTCTTTTTTATAAAAAAAATCAATATTTACGTCAATATTTATATTTACATACAAGCCATGCCACCCAGTCACATGACCACCAACCCATGCAGTCAGTAAGCCACACCCATCCAGTCACATGACCATACCCACAAATTAGGTCACACCCAGGGGTGGGATTCTACCAGTTCGGACCAGTTCTATAGAACCGGTTGCTACGATTCTGTGCAGTTCGGAGAACTGGCAAATCGTGCCACTGACTGGCCCTTCCCTCCTCCTGTCAGATTTCTGCTTTCTAGCTAAACTAAATCACTGTTGTACTGCTTTGCCTTCGCCCAGGAGGCTTCCCTGAGGCCCAGTCAGGGGTGGTATTCAGGAAATTGGGGGGTGGGGGAGAAATGGCCTGAGAGCAGAGCTGAACCTTCCTTAGGACTGAAGCTTCTATTTTTCAGTGCAGACTCAGGCAGCAGATTGCAGAAAGGTAGATCTGTGTGTGAATCTATGATTCTGCAAGCAACTCAATCTGTTTTGCCTTATTTTGGGTAATAGTTGCTCTTTTTATATATATACATATATATAAAATACAATATTTACACAAATGTTTACAATATCTATGTATAAGTCACATGACCACCAAGCCACACCCACAAATTAGGCCATGCCCACAGATTCGGTTGTTAAGAAATTTGAATCCCACCCCTGGTCACACCCACAGAACTGGTTGTTAAGAAATTTGAATCCCACACCTGGCTAAAAATGCCAAATCCTATCTGAACACTTGGCTGACTAAGCAACAAACCATAATAATTGCATTAGTGGAAGAAGATTTATTTTATGGACATCTAGTTTTTATAGTCATAAAAACATACTGTGTTACAATTATTCTTTTGAACAGTTTGCTGATGTCAGTCTGTGTGTAGTTGTATTGAAATTACACCAGGCAGACTCATGTCATCTAGACTACTTAAGTGTCAGGTGTTGATGGTGCAGCTTCACCAAGTGGAGGTAACAGGCTCTGTGGTTCCCTAAAGGAAACTGTTTTCGATGGGCTAAAAGTATCCTTCACTTTGTCAGTTTGAGGACTCTCCGAAGTCTCCTGGTCCATTTCTGGAATTCTGGGGTCTGCCTTGGTTTCCAAATTCATTGCTGGTTCTGATGAGTGTGCATCAGAATGTGGTGATGTCTTCTGAGCATCAAATGAGTGGGCTGTGGCTACACCATTTTCTACTGGGGGTCCTTTTTCTGATTTGAGGTCCTCCAGTATGTCTGACCCCTGTATAGAAGGCATTATCTTACTGTCTGTTTTTTTCTCTGTCAAAATAATTGTGCCCTGTTTCTAAAAAAAAGAAAAGAAAAATAATATAGATATTAACTGGGGGACGTTCAGTGGAGAGATATAGCTACAAGCAGAATTAATTTATAAGTTCAAGTTTTGGAACAATATCCTTCTTGTCTCATTCGGTTTGCAACCTACATTTTTCTTAGCAGAAGAATGACTTGAGCCATCACATCTTTGTATCTGCAAAATCTGGGAAGGGTAAAACAACATGTGAGAAAAAAAATGCACCTCACAGATTGGACTTCCCTTCTCCTCAGTTCCAGGGTTCTCTTGCTCACAGCATGTGTGGCTCACTTCTTATTTTTGTTGGGCACTAAATTTCATTTTTGCTATGTCCATATGGATACAATTCTAAACTGTTTGCTTTTGCACTAGGAAAAATTTATGACTGGTTCCCAAATGACTTTGACCATTACAGTCATAGGAAAACAATAGGATTTTTTTTTTTTTTTTGAAAAGGAAAGGAAAATAGAAAAAAAAATTAATAAAAGAAATTGGATTCAGATTCTCACAGACTGCCTCAGATAAAAAAATATTTAAAAGTTGATTGGTTTGAATATTAATCTTCTGATTTACCTAATTGATTGTTGGCCCTATTTTCTTCAGTTTGATTGAATTTCCACAATCTTTCCTTCAGGTGAGACTTGTCCTCTTTCTCATCTATTTCTTTTTTTCTCTTAGTTTTTGAAATAGTTCCTAGCATTCAACCTCCTGATCTATGGTTTGTATCATACCTCAATGTTATATATTGTAGGTACCCAGAAGCACATTTCACAACTTAGCTTTCAGCATTCTGTCACACTTCAGTAAAATCAGTGGGGGAAAATAGCCAGGTTAGAACTATGCAGAGTTGACTGAGCCTGGTTCTTAAAAGCTAAAGTCTTTAGGCATGAGACTCAGATTTAACACCACTATTGATTTTTAATGGCTACTTTCTGCTATTAAAAAATAAATCAAGGACATTTTTATAATATATCCAAATAAATTAAAATTTTAAAAGTAATATATTTGCTTTAAAAGTCATAAAACTGAATACAAAAACAATTTTGTTGGTGTTATGTTTTAAAATTAAAGCATGTTTTTTCATGCAATTGGATTTTTTTTTTTTAGATTTAACTGTTTTATAAGCAAAGGATTTATTTCTGTTTAGCTAAAAAGTAAAGTGATTACAACATTTTAGAAGTTGCTTTAGTTTGCCTTTGAAAAAAAAAAGTTTGGAATTGTGGATGACAGTCTAGTTGGGCATAGTTCTACTGAATTCATTAAGGCATGTTTTGGGTAAATGAAACGTTTAGGCCTTTCTGTAATATGATGTGATTCAGGTCAGTTATTGTATGATTTACTTCAAGAGGAATTGGTGTTGCTTTTGAAGGAAAGAAAACAAGGGTGGAGACTTGCATAGTAGAATTGATAGTTGTCCCCCAGTATTAGCAACTCCTTCTCTTTTGTTTGTTGCTGTTTTGCCCAAGGATCTTGATTAAGGCAAAGAAATCGCAATACAGCAAGCTCAATGCTTGGGACTTCTTTCTAAAATCATGGAGCCACCGAGACATCAGGTATATTAATTACAAACATCCAGCAATGTTTACAGGAGTGATAACATTCCCTGGACCTCAAACAATGTATTGGAGACTTTGGAATAAACACATCTTTCTGGCTTCCTGATTAATGCGAATAGCACAGGATGCACATTGCTTTACCTTTCCTTGATAGGGAACGCAGGGAGTTGCTCTGGAATTATAGTTATATTTGAAAGTGAGCTGCTCTTGGAAAATTCTCGGAAGGCGACTCGGCAGTTGAGGCGATGCAAGAGGAACTGTGATTAAAACAACAAATACAACAGGGGAAAAAACCCTCACATATATATGGTGGCAATTAAATATATACTTTTAGATAAGTGTGCAATAATATATATGAGATGCCTCAATCATACACAACAGAATAAAGTTAGAACAGGTAGTTCTCAACTTACAAGCATGCATTTAGTGGATGTTCAAAGTTAGAACAGCACTGAAAAAAATGACTTACAGGGTGTTACGAACTAACTAAATAAACTCATTATTAAAAACTCTTCGAGCTTCGCTCCAACTGCAGGCTCGTAATCCTGCAGTTCTAATTGGTCCGCAAGTAAGCGATCATGATTGGCTGCCTTCGGCTAACCTGATTGGCTGACAGCGGCCATCCCTGATTGGAAGACTAAGTGCGGTTAAACTCGTTCCCATTGGTTATTGCGGCAGCAGCCAGCTCTATAAAAGAGCTGCTGCTGCCCAAGTGTTTTGCTCTGTTCTGAAGTCACTATTAAAGAGTTGAGTCACTACCCGATGCCTTGTCTCCGTTATTGCGCCCCCTCCTCCAGATCTAACACAGGGTGACTACAGTTAGTGACTTACAGTATGACTTACACTCAGAGGTGTTATTCAGCAGGTTCTAACCCAGGGGTGGGCAAACTACGGCCCACGGGCCACATCCGGCCCATTGGTCTTTTTAATCCGGCCCGCCGAAGATTGGTACAGAATTATGGTTTGATGTGAATGATTGAATGATTGCATTCATTTGATTTTGACTTGTAATGACAGGCATTTTGACACCAGGTGGCGGCCCGTCTGTCAAATTTTAAAAGTCAATGAGGCCCCCCGAGCCAAAAAGTTTGCCCACCCCTGTTCTAACCAGTTCTGGAGAACCGATGGGTGGAAATTTTGAGTAGTTCGGAGAACCTGTGAATACCACCTCTGACTGGAGATTTTACAGTATCCTTCCCCTGCCACAGCCACCAAGCCGCACCCATAGAACCAGTAGTAAAAATATTTGAATCCCACCACTGATTTACACTTGATAAACTTATGACAGTTACAGCATCATATGCTCAAAATCCAGAAGCTTGCAACTGGCATGTAGTTGTGATGGTTGCAGGAACACAGGGTTGTGTGAATTTTTGCAAACTTCTGACAAGCAAAGTCAATGGGGAAACCAGAATTCACTTAGCAGCCATGTTACTAGCTTAACTACAGTAATTCTTTTAACAACTGTGGCAAGGCAGTTCCTAAAATGGGGCAGAATTCACTTAACAACTGTTCTTGCTTTGCAATGGACAGTTTGGGCTGTAATTGTAAATCAAGGACGACCTGAACAGTAGTGAAAAGAAGGAGGGATTAATGAAGAAGTCCCACATTCAGAACTCTCTTTCTGCTATGGAACATGCAGTATATCCTAAACAGTTGCCCCTCAAAGCCAGTACCAAGTGTCCTGCAATGTTATTGCGAGCAACTCTTTGTGTTTTGAACTAGCTAATGCAGCATAATCTTCTCCCACCTGCATGTTCAGCTTACCATTTCTTCCTCCCTAGGACATTCAGAGGAGGAAATTGTTCAAGAGTGCATATTTGTCCTCTCTCTCATTCTCTCTTTCTCTCTGTCTCACATATACACAAATACAAATGCACATGACAGATACTATAAGCCCATTTCTGAGTTATGATTTAACAGCTAATTTAATCTGTTCTGTAGCCCAGGATTTATTTATTTATTTTATTTATTTATTTGATTTGCCAATTGTTTACAAGATAATAAGTATAAGTGTATACATAGTTGTGAATACATGAAATGGGTACATATAAGAAAAATAAAAGAAGAATAAGAGAAACAATAGGACAGGGACGGTAGGCACGTTGGTGCGCTTATGCACGCCCCCTACAGACCTCTTAGGAAAGGGGTGAGGTCAATAGTAGACAGTCTAAGGTTAAAGTTTTTGGGGTTTGGGGAAGAAACTACAGAGTCGGGTAGAGTATTCCAGACATTGACCACTCTATTGCTGAAGTCGTATTTCCTACAATCAAGTTTGGTGCGGTTAACTTTGAGTTTGTATCTATTGTGTGCTCTTGTGTTGTTATGGTTGAAGCTGAAGTATTCATTGACAGGTAGGACATTGCAATGTATGATTTTATATACCATGCTTAAATCAGACCGAAGACGGCGTAATTCAAGGTTTTCTAGTTCTAGAATTTCAAGTCTGGTGGCATAAGATTGTTGTGAGGTCTGTGCTCCTTAGACAAATAGTGGAGTACAGGTATAGTACGTACATACAAGTTGCATATAGTGGAAATCTTTTCCAGAGAAAGGTGCATGGTCTCTCATAGTTAGTATTTTAGTAGGCCTGGATACATTTTTATTTCTGCCTGAAATTTAATTAATTATTATGTTGTGCTTGAAAAAAAAAGCAGCTACTGATGATTTGAAATACATGCATAAAAGCTGCTAAATAAATCCCATTGTACAACTTTTGGGAAACTGATGCTGTTTTCTATTTACAATGAAATCGCAAAGGTCTTAGGTTATTCGCTTAAAGTAGGTTTATGGGAAGGAGCTGTATAATAAGCTTATAAAGCTGTTTTACAATGAGGCAGTCCATTACACATTCATTTTACTATCCTTTAGGTGCCAACTCTGTTATTTCTTTGCTCCAGTTTTTTGCAGAATAATTTTTTCTTTACATTTTATTTGTAGTTTTCTTTCAGCTGTTGTTCAGCTTTGCTTCAGTATTTTATTAAGTGAAATGGGTGCCATATTTCAACTAAGGAGGTGATAAAAGACTGAATATATTATAAATCTGTTGTTTTGTTTATCACAGTACTCCCAGTTCTGATTGGCCATAATTTCTGAAATTGGTTCTAAAGTATTTTCCTAGCTTAGAATATAACGTTATTGTCACTTTGAATGTACACTAATTGGCATACATTAAAATAAAATTTCATTGCACGCAGCTCTCAAAGGCTCTCCACCTTTTCATAAACATGACAAAATAAATAAGTAAATAAATACAAATATGCATATACCTGCATATATTATATGACATGAAGAAACAACACAGTCTAATTTGGATGTATACATGTACATGGCAAGAGAAATGAATCTTGCAAGTTTACCAGATGGATGGCACAAGGAGCAAAGCTTGTTACAGAATTTGGTAGTCCTGCTAGTACACAAAGTAGGTAAAGGAAAAGTCTTCTTTGAATCATCATACTTCTTGATAACTACATGAGCTTATAGAAAAGTTAACAAAGAATGGGGGCCATCTTATTAAAGAGAAATCAACTGAAGGCATAACTATTTTTAAAGCGGTAAGTACCAGTAGCATTCTGAAATGGATTCTCTAATGTAGAGTTAAACTACGTATTAACTTTTTTTTCTTTTAAAGCATGATCTACTGATGATGTGTGATAAACGTACATGGCAAGAGACTTACCACTCACTTAATACTCAAGTATGTGCTCTCATTTAGTCAATTTAATTGATGTCACAGAAAGATTGGGGAATTCTCATTAAGGACAAAACAAATTTCTGTTAAATGAGAATGCATTCTTGCTAATTACATGAACATAAAAGGCCTTGATGCATCAGTGAAAGATCTAACTCCAGCCTAATTTTCATTGTAAGAATTGCCACAATCAACAGGCAGTGAGTGCAATCAACAGTGGCCAAGATCCATCATGCTTAGGATTTGAATCTACTTTCCCTTTTTAGGGTTGTGACTATGGGTTCAAATGAGTTTTTATTCAGTAAATAAATACATTTAAAATGGCAAAATTTAACTCTATTTAAAATTGTTAATATTTGTCTTTCTGTACTGCTCCCACACGTCTTAGAGCAGAGCTAGATAAATATCTGTCAGGACTAGCTTAAGAGTGAAGCTAAACCAGTTCCTAGGTCAGCCAGGATGTCTTTTCATCATCTGTAAAAAGGCCCAGGAAAAAATCATAGCTGTGCTAGTGCTCTTTTTGATCTCACCATAAGGATAAAAATGTTAACTTGTACTTCAAAAGTCAGCAGAAACATTATGATAGTCGACAGCAGAAATGAATGTCTACTACACCATGAAATAATTATAGTGTTCTGTACAAGTCAATTTACATACTCGTAGCCCCGCGTCGCGATTGGTTAAGGCGCGCGGCGACCGGATTGGTCGAGCGAGCCGCACTGATTGGCCCGCTGCAAATCCCCCGCGATTGGTGGAAACTAATCGCGGGAGATTCGAAGCGGTGTCATTGGCCGCGACCGCCGCGGCTCGAGAATAAAAAGCCGCAGTTTTTCCCCTCTTGCTTAAGCTGTATCAGGAGCCAATAAAGAGCTGAAACCAAGTCACTGACTCCGAGCTTCCTTTCTCGACGGACACGACATATAGTATCCCCTTTACTTGAACAAAACAGAAATTACGATAATTTCTAGTGATGAAACAGGAAGTGGTCACCTTTCACTGCAGTTAAACACCTTTTTGTTCTGGAGAATGAAATAAAAAGAACTTCTGATTTCCTTTCTCTCCTTTTTCTGTGAGCAGACTGTGATGTTGATATATAAGTCTTGCTTTAAGGTCATTCTTAGAGCAGAGTCTTTATGAATCGTATTAAGATAAGCAGGCCATTCTGGTTTTTGTGTTTCAATCTTCTGTGGTTTTTCTTCTTTTCAATTGTCTTAATCTTGCTTTGCTTGTTCCTGATTTATGAAGGAATGCAAGCCACCATATTAAGGTTTATTTGGAAACAGTGTATGATGGGGCTGACTCCCTGGCAAGAAAGGTTAGAATTTCTTCCTCTAAGAAAAGAATAGTTTATGACCATTGTATATTATTAGCAAGGTTGCCTGTCCCATTCCACAGACCATCATCCACCTATAGCCCCAAATCAAAATATATGACCCTAGGAGATGAATGAAAGTTAAAGTAGAGCTGAGAAATCTGCCTGAAATGTAGAAAGATGCCATTGTCCAGTGGTAGAGAACTTGCTTTACAGGTAGAAAGTCACAGCAAAGGGCAAAATGGCTCTGTATTAGATTAAAAGCAACATGGTAAACCTACAGCGGATTGCAAATCAGGAAGAATTTTGATCTTCAATGCAACATAAGAATATAAAAGCTGCAGTGGGTTATCTTTGCATCCCAATTAATCCAGCATTTGGTTCTTTTGATGGTTAATCAAATGGTTCTGGGAAGCAGGATATGAGCATATCTGTGGACAGATATAGGTTATGCTTTGTACATTGTTTTTCTATTTTACACAGTGTCTGTTTGTACATGCAGAAAGTAATGCCTCTTGAGACTCAATTGGCATATGTTTCAATGATATCACTACCAGTACCTTACAGACTAATTTATTTGAACAACATGGTTCATAATAAGCCTTATAATATATAATAAAGGAAACAGATGTTTCACCTGTGAAAAGGTGACAGTGGCTAAATGGGAACAGAGGTAGATTATACAGCACAATATTTTGGACAAAGAGCAATTGGTATTTAGATTATGGGAATTTAGTTTTATCTACTCTAGTTCAGCAACTGTCAGAAAAAAGAAACCTCCAACAAGCAGTACTAAATATTGGCTGGGCATTTTTGGTTCTGATCATATCAGGTCAATCAAAATGCTTTCTTTACTTTGCATAATAGTAAAATTAGAGCAGTCTATTTTGATAACAGTAGAGTCCACTCCTTCTACCACTATAGACTTACCTATTCCATATGAAGGCTGTAACTTAGAGGGATGTTTAACAGGCCGAGACAAAATACAGTTTGGCTTCTGGAAATCATTCCGGTGAGTGCTCTGCTTGTCATAAGGTGGTTTAGGATGTTGTACAGTGGGCTCAAAGGTCGGCCACCAATGAGACTTAAAAAGAAAAAAAAAGCAATAAAAAGAAATGAATTCATTGATATCACAGTTATAGAGAAACAAGAGCTGAAATCCCCAGGGAGAAGCTATTATGTAAATTATCTAAGTCAGGTTTGGGGACAATGCTTAAACATTAACTTTCCAGACAGGCTCAGGTGCTCTCCTCTTCCAGCTCTCATCACAGAAAGAGATAAAACGTTTTATTTTTCAATTTTAAACTAAGTTAGAATTATTAGAAACTGGGAGACTCTGAAGTCTGCTCCTCCCTTAGGCGTGGAAAGATGATGAGTAACTTTGAGTCAGTTGGTCTCTCTCTCTCTCTCCTCTCTCTCTCTCTTCCCAACCCACCTCACTGGATTGTTGTTGTGGCGAAATAGGAGAAAGAAGTGTCGTGTATGTACACTGCTTTGAATTGGGAAATTTAAAAGGGAATACTATTTAATAAACAGAAAGCTTAAAAAACTAAAACAAATTAGAATCAGCACTTTTACAAATCCTAACTTAACTAGTCACTGTTTGTCCTGATTTGAATGCAATGGCAAATTGTGCCTTGTTTTAAATATTGAATGCTTTCAAATGAATTCTTACAGCTATGCGGAAGCATTGAAGGGTGTGTGTGCTGGAGTCCAGATTTTGCCTGGTATCATTTGTATGAGTTGGGTTTCAATTTCATTTTATAATAGTGAGCACCTGTTTTGTTTTTGTATCCTCCGTTTCCATATATAATACAGGCTCATTTATAAACTTGGTGTGCATTCTAAGTAGCTTTGCATGTTGTGGTTGAGGATTATTGCGCCATTCCAATAAATATCTTTCTTCTTTCTTTGGTGTCCATTCAATCTTGTGTAGAATATTATTTCTTTCTGGGATTTGAAGGTTAAATATTCTGAATGTATCTGGGCTAAAAATAAGAAAATGTGGAAGAAGAAAAAGAGGAGGAAGAAAAGAAAAATGAGAATGAAAATTAAGGTTAAGATTGGGGAATGCTTGTTCTCAAATAATAAGGAAATACATTATCCATTTGATGTACACATTTAGGAACGTAGGAAAGTATATATTGAAGTATTAATCAAAGTAACCTTCTCCACAGTTATCACTGTGTTTGGTAGTTGTAGCCAAAAACATCTAGAGGATACTCAATAGAAAAGACTGTTACCTGAGTCCTTTAACGAGAGATAGTATGGATTTAATCTGGAAGTTCTGCATACTGTAGAAATGAATTAATACTAAAGAATACTTGCTTTTCTTGTTCAATTTCTAGTACTGTAATATACCATGATCCCAATCACATGGTCAAGGCAGATTTGGTATGAAAGTTCCCAAAGTGATAATTTCTATTTATGTCTTTTTCTATTTCTTAAAAGCAGCTAAAGTGAGATATAGAAAAGGACTTTTTAAAAAACTGGAAACTTTCATCCAGGCTACTTCTCACATTTAAATTACTGCCCTGTTGAAACTGATAATAACATTTGGCCAGGGAAATTCAAATCCAGAAAATGGAATGGGGGAAAGTTTAAAAATAAGTCACTCCCACAACACTTTAATCAAGTTTGCCTCATTGGTATGACTCAAATCATTAGTTCGATACAATCACAGACATCATGCTTTTTAGGTATGCTTCCATAATTACCATGTCATGTTACATTACTATAGTTGAGTATGGAAAACTTTTTAATAAAAAAATTGTATTGATTACATTTCCTGACTGCAGAATTTCCTGAGTTAGAACAATTAATCAGTAGAACAACTTGCCTCCAGAATCCCCAAACAGGATCTGTTCTGGGGCAATGCAAACTCATCTAGTACCAAACATGATTAAGTCCCAAAACCAGAGGGGCTCAAAATCCAAAGCCACTCAGTCTTAACTAGTTGAAGTTTAGTTGAAGTCTTTTATTCCCCATCCAGACCTTCACAGACTCCAGACACTGGGTAGGACACTGGGTAGGCATTACTTGACTGGCCATGGGTGGACAACTGGGTATTGTCAACATTTTCAGGATACCTCACCCCATGGTGATGCATAAGCTCATCCAGTGGTCTCATATAGATATTAAAGAGGAGAGGGAAGACCACCAACTCATGTGGCACTCCACATATCATGGGCTGAGAGTGAGATCTCTCCTCCCCGATCACCACCAACTGAAACCGACCCTGTATAAAGGAGGTGAACCAGCACAATACTGTGCCACCTATCTCCAGTCTTCTGAGTCAGTCCAGAAGAATAATATGATCAATACTATGGAAAGCCAACAGGTCAAGTTAAGCAAGGGGAGATGCATAGCCACCATCTTGCCCGTGCTGGAGATCATCCAAAAGCACAACCAGTACCATTTCCACACTCTCCCTAGATCTGAACCTTGACTGAAAAGGATCCAGATAATCCACTTAATTAGTTATTTCATGCATATAAGTCTCCTGTAATTATTCTAGATCAGGTTTTGGCAACATCCCAGAATTCTGGGAGTTGAAGTCTACACATCTTAAAATTGCCAAGTTAGGAAACACTGTTCTAGATATAGTCAATAACATTCCCTTGATGTCATTGGTACAATCAGAAGTGCCAGCAATGCGAGAGGCAAGATTTGATGTTAGCAATTTCAAGGCTTATAACTGAGTCTCCTAGCTATTCACAGCTCCAGCACAGACTGCAAGGACTGTCATCTTTTGAGCAACAAGAAATCAGAAATATCCCTGCTTCATTCATTAGAAGTGGCTGTTCAGGAAATCCTTCTTATAAAATACATGAGCCTGGCTGTCTCCACTCAATAATCCTCCTCCCACCAAGATCCAATTCCTGATCTTTCACTCTCTCTGTACCTCCTTCCCTCCCCTTTCCATCAATTACAGCCTCTTACCCACCAGCCTTATTAATGACTTCCTGGGAACATTCCATACAAAACCATCTCCCTACTATTCTTAGACTCATTATCTTATCAACAGCCTCTGACACAGTAGGGCAACTCAGTGTCTTCATCACCTTGGCATATATAGGGTTTAGCCTGAATTTCTTCCTCTAATTGCTTTTATCACTTCCCAGCCAATTCCCCTCAAACACCCTCCCCAACTTTCTTAAGATAAGGTCTGGCATCCATCTCCATGCCTGATTATCTGAAAGCTCAGATGACCCCTCCCACCTTGCAATGGCTCTTAGTGAGCCCCTGGTAGTTTCCATTTGTAGTAGACTAGATATCTGACCATTCCTGCAGCATGACCATGCTGGATAGGAGTGATAGGTCTTGTCCAGCACCTGCAAAGCACCATTTTACAGTCTACTTTTGATCATGTATTTTATAAGACAGGGAGGGCCCATCACATTTTGGGCATTTTCAAGGGAAGAAGCTGGAATGATTTTATGATGAACTTTAACCCCCCCCCCCAAGAATGTGCTGGCAAAAACCACTTCACCTGTCCAATTTCTGCCTCAGTTGATTTCCTTTTACCACCAAAATATGCTGCTGTTTGGTTTGTCTGATAAAGCAATAAATTGCATTCAGCTGCTTCTGTCCAAATCCTATAAACTTTGGCCAAGATAGGTTGAGAAGAATAGGTTCCCACAAACCAGGAGAAAGATCCTGATTTTTTAGAACACTGTGTTTTGAGGCAGAGACACCACACAACCCACAACTCACTTCTGGAAGACCCAAATCAGAACACTTACTACTGATG